ATATATATCTTAAATTCAATTAAATTATAAATACTCTCAACCAACCCGGCTATCCAGTAATTCATGCTCTCCCACACATCCAATCAAGGGTATAAGTGAGTAAAGCCAACTCAGGCTTAGCTCCATAAATGATATGTGAGCCGAATTTGATGAGCTAATGAGTCATATTTGAGCCATCCTTGACTAACTTGGTAGCTCACGTGCTGATTTGTTTAAAAGAAATTTAATATAAAATGCACTTAAAATTTATTAACATTCAAGATTTTAAAGTTGTAAAAAGAAAAAAAAATATATCTAAATATCTTATATTAAGTTATTCTTTCTTTTCATTTTATTTTCTTATTGATTTTATCATTTTATTATAATAATTATTTGAATCATAATTATTTTCTTTATTTCATAATAAATGAGACGGCTCGTGAGCTAGCTGGCTTGAAGCTTGAGCTTAAGCTGAAGCTTGAAGTCTATTAATTAATCCAGCTCAAGCTCAAATTAGAGATGGCTCATGTACACCCCTACCCGAACAAACACAAATAAAATCACAAAATATATTTTTTTTCTTTGCTTCTAAACTTTGCATATTACTGATTACATTCATTTCAACTGTACATAAAACTATGTCATCTTCATGCTAAACCATTACGCCCTCATTTGCTTTTTCACCTTCTTTATCAAACAAGCCATTACTCATCTGTATATCAGAACCAGAGGTAGAAGATAAACCTAGAACAAAAGCCATTAAGACCTAAACAACTAATTCCACTAATCCCTGCAGCGTAAAAGCCTCACCTTTGGCTTACTTTCCAACCCCGGCGGCGGCGGTGGCGCAAACTTACAGTTCGGGCACAAAGGCGTCTCCTTGCACATCATCACCAGCATGTGACATCTCGCGCAGACTATCGCCATCATTTCTCTCTCATCAGCAGTCTGATCAGTTTCCTCGCCATGGATTTCAGATCGTTCGCTCATGAGATTGAGCTCCAGGTCTAAGGTTGGGCGACGGCTGTGTGCTTCTCGGCTCCATCTTGGGTCCTTGAACGTCCTCATTTGAGTCAAGGTGTTGTAAAAATGTACCTCTCCTGACTTCAAACGCATGTGATTTTACCAAAGGAGACACCTTTCTGAAACAGAAATTAAGATTAAAGATGAAGATATAAAAAAGTTCATACCTTGATGTCAAGGCATCGCTGCCATTCCAAGGGTAAGGGAGTTTCGAGACTCAGCTCGATGGCTGAATCAAACTTTGGTAGTTGGGGTTTCCAAAGCTTGGGGTCTTTCTTCGCCTGGAATCCTGCTTTATCTTCAATAGACACTTCTTCTTCTTCTTCTTGCGCTTCTTCTCTCTTTCTCTTCAGATTGGAGGACAAAGGATTCTTCTCCTTCGTGGAGAGAGATGGTTGAAGGGAAACCATGAGTGGCTTGTCGTGTGGGTAAGTTTTTCTTTACTTTTTTCTTCCTCTGCTCTGTTTTATGGAGTATGGGTGTTTTTATAGTACTTTGTTGCCATCAGTTCGTATTTAGGAGAGCAGAGGAGTAGCTACCAAAGGATCTAATAATGCTGCTTTTAAGAAGGGATTGGGAATGGCCCCACGCTCTATTTTATTTTTCTATTGCTGAAAATAAGATTTTAATTTATTAGCTGAGGATAATATCACGTGAGCTAATGCACAACAACGCTTTTCTCCTCTCATGATTCATGAGAACATTTATTTAGAAATTACTAGAAGTGATTTTTTTGTTTTTGTTTTTGTTTTGTTGATTAAATATTTATTTAAAATTTCAGATTTTTTTAATTATCTTACATGTGAAAATAAAATTATGTTTCAAAATAATAATATAAATTTATAATTTAAAATTATAATAATTGCTAATTAAATATGCAATACATTTTCCACCCTCTTACTTTGAGCAATCAAATGAGTATCCTTAAATTATTATCACCATTTATTTTTGTTGAGACTTGGAATATTCATAGCGGTAGAGAACTATAAAGTTTAACATCTTATCTTTCTATGAAGATCCAAAACACAATCAGATAAAAGAGATGGTATAGCATTCATAAGAGATGCAAGAGTTCTTTACGTGGAAAACCATATAAAGGGAAAAAAACCACGGGTCTAATCCAGTTTGAATTAATCCACTAGTATTTGCAGTTGATTATAAATGAGGCCCTTCATTGGAGGGAAAGTCATGGCTCGATGTAACAAATCTACATTATATAGAATGCATTACATGGTGGAAATTGGAAGAAATTAGTATTGATATGTTTGTTTGGTCAGCATGACCATAGTCGGTGGGCCACAATGGTCAAAAAAATCGTTGTCTAACGACAGAGGTCGGAAAGTTCATAGTCGGAGGGGATGAAGGTTGTAAAGACCATAGTCGGGTGATGGGGATCGGATGGGCCGAAAGTCGGGTGACGGAGGTCGGAAGGCATGTAGTCATTTGCCGACCTCCGTCAGCTGGTGATAATGGTCAAAAAGACCATTATCTGGTGACGGAGGTCAGAAAATCCGTTGTATGATGACAGAGGTTAGAAGGACCGTACTGGACAATTAAGTGGAAGTGCGATGTTAGTTGGTGGACGGGCAGAAGTTCTACATTAGTTGGTGGTCGGGTGTAAGCCTGGTGTCAGTCGGTGGGCGGACATAAGTCTGGCATCAATTGGTGGTCATGTGTAAGTCCAACGTCAGTTGGTGGACGGGTGTAAATCTTACATCAGTCGGTAGCCAGGCATAAACTAGGCGTTAGTCGTTGGCCAGGATGAAGTCCAGCATTAGTCGATGGCCAGGAGAAAGTCTAGCAGTGGTCGAGGAGTCTGGTGGCAAGAGAACTCTAGCATCTCTCTCTTCATTCTCTTTCTTGTTTCCTTGCTTAGGTCATCCTTCTTGCTTCCCCTTGTCTTTCCCCCCTCCATGAGAAATGAGAGGGCTTATTATAATTTTATGAAAGTGGCATGACCAATAAATAAGGAGAAGATCATGGGCATGTTGGGAGTGGTTTGAATGGACGACCAATTCGTTTCCTTTTATCATGGACTATTTATCAAGTAGTTGAGTGTTTTAGTGATATCAGAATTCAAGGATCTTGGGTTTGTTGGATTCGTCTTGTCCAACAGCTCAATTTGACTATAATTATGTCACATTTAGAAACCATTTGGTAATCCATAATATGGTTTGAACATTTTAAGTATGCTTCGAGTCCTTGATTTGGACCCATTTGGGCTTGGATTGAGTCGAATTTGGTATCACTGAGTTTTTCTTTTCGAGACGTTCAGTTCAACTATAAGTTTGTTGAAGTTGGAGTTCATATGGTCTCAAATTTAATTTTGAAATCTTTCAACTCAATTTTTCCTCGAGATTCGTGCCCAATCAAGATAATCTTTTTATTGTATATATATATATATATAGTTCCAAGTTATTCATGCACTAATAATGCAGGAATAGTGTTCGGAATATATTTTGTGGCTTTTTAAAATAGGGAAAAATACTTAAAAAATTATGAAAATTTTTAGAAAAAATATCCTATAAATTGTGCTTCAAAGAAAAACTCAATATTTATACAAGGTTGTCATGTGCGATTGGCTAGAATGGTTCATCACATAAGGGTTTAATTTAAATAGGCTTGAAGGGTTTCCATGCGTCCGAAAGAAATAGAAATGAGGAGGGCCAACCTTGATGACTGTACGATCTACAAGCACATACAGGATTTGTCCAAATTCAAAAGATTTTATACTTCAATTTGTTACATTCTACAATCACATTTATGATTTATTCAAATTCTTGAAAAAATTACACTACAATCCGAGCAAAGGTTTACAGTTGTCACCGCCATCGCCAACATCACCCTTGGCACCTACCATCACCACCACCGCCAGCCACCACTACACCCTGGTTGCTGGCCACCACTGCCACCCCCACAGCCGGCCAGTACTGCTAGTGATTGCCACTGTCGCCCACCGCCGCCTCATCTTTAGATTTTACCCTACTTAGATTTTACTTCAAACGAAGACCAAAAAAAAAAAGTGTTCAAATTTGTGTCTTGACTTTTTATTTTTTGATTGATAGTGATCCTTCACCTGTTTTGCATACTAATTATCAATGGTACTATAACTTTTAATTTATGATTTCTTCACCATTTTTGGTCTCTCATTAAACCTTCTTATAAGGACATTGTGAGTTGTGACATACACAATCTTAGATATAGGATTAAAGGATTACTTGACTTGCTTTAAAGATTATATAATGTGACATTATTAAGATATTAATGTTTGATTAATTATGATATGCCATAAGAATTTTTTTTTTTATTAAAAAGGAATTTTGATCTAATTTTATGTACAAATTTAAACATTTTATTTATTATGATATTAATCGTACATGAAAAATTTTAATTATCTACTCTTAATCTTTCTACATAGTGATTACATTAAGCAAAGAATATTTTTTTTGAATTTATTGTAGCATCAAACCTTATCTTCTCTTAATCTTTCTACATAGTGATTACTTGTTGGTTTTGTATGTAAAAACATAAATATTTCATTTTGATGATCATAATATACAATAATGCATTATCTCTTAGACCATGCACATGAGAAATGTCAATTATTTGTATGATGTAAGCAAAACCTATTGGCAATAATGAAAGAGAACATATATTAATGTGTTGGAATGCCAACCCAATAGTATTTTTAAATTGTTTTGGTGCATAAAATGTTAAATTACATATGATACATTTGGGGCACTTACTGTGCATTATTGTATTGCGTACAAATGTTACTTCTTATATGAAAATCTCATATTCATCATCCATTGTGTTGATCTCATACAAGTCTGAGTGTAATCCCCATGGAATGTGTTCTAAAATTAGAAACTTACTTTGAACATGTTGAAGAAGGTTGTAAAACAAGTTAGAGTACCTTATGTGATGATTCAAAAGAGAATAAAATGATGATGCCATGGATAACATAGAAAATGGACAACCAATTTGTGTTTAAAGGGCATAACATCATATATAAGCATGCTCTTTTTTTAGTCCATATTTTTGTTGAAATGATTTCTACTAATAGTTTATTATGTACCAAAAAATTAAATAAATGTATAACTAAGACGAACAATACAAAATAACTTCATACAATAATATACTTCCCAAGAAATTTGGATTTATATTGTGTGATGATTTGTTAATTATTTATTAATAATGTCAAGTATTATAAGATTTATTTGTGCATAAATAGATCGATAGTTATGATCTTCAATCATTACCATTTTGGCATTTGCACTCATCCAAGAGTTATTGTGTAAGAAGGGCCTAGGTAATCTAGAGTATTGCTAGCATGCATATGTGACTCCCTAGAATTTAATTTGAAAGAATTATTTTTTTATCATTTAATTTACCTAATTAACCAGAGCTACCTAATTTCTTTTATTAATATAATAGTAACAAAAATAATAATATCGATCAAAACATTAATATATACATATGTATTTCTTTTTCAAAATCATGTATACTACTCAGGATCTATACAATCATTATATATATATATATATATATATCCTTACCTAAGTGCAGAAAAAAAAGCTAAAGGACTGAAGAATAAACTAACAGTAAACCTGGAGAAGCCTGATTTGATCAATCTCACACACATACTCTCTTTCCATGACCTAAAATCATTTAATTATAAGGTAATTTAACATAGTCAAGTAACTAACTCCTACAATTAAACTCAATGCACAACAAAGAAGCAATATGCATGTTAGCTGTCAAATCACAACAATAGTAGTCACATGACTATGAATCAGTACAAAAATAGTAAAGCTTACATGCAATATCAACATAATATATAAATAGTATAATAATATAGTACGTACAAAAGCTTATAAAACAGTATAATAAATTTATTTGTCTGAGTTAAAATATGAGCTATTACATCATACATGTATGAACTAATAATGAAAGCAACTCATCACTAATGTAAATCAAAGTTCATTTCTCATTACATTGTCCTTGCTATTCTTCAACAAATTGATCTAAAACCATAAAAAAATTATAAGATCATATTAATAAGATTATATGTTTTATTAACACATATTAGAGCTAGGAGGTGCATTCAAAGTTCATCAAAAGAGACATTAACAAGTATGTCTCATTTTATAGTGGAAGATTTATGTATGGAACTATGATAAACAATATGTTTGAACATTTGGCTGAAGTTTTATAACATGTATAATGGCTTCCAATCCAATAACTCATATGTATTATTTATCAAGTGCTTTAATGATGCTTGAATGCAAGAGACTCTAAATGAATCATTATTCGTGCCTACGATTAAGATACTATTATAGATATATAAATGTAATTCAAAGAGAAGTCATTAACCTATATTTATTAACATATATGAGTTTCAATTGCTTAACAATGCTTGTAATCATATTAATTGTAGGAGTGAAAGGAACTATAATTGCACATATAATTAACTTAAAATTTATCATGTGTCATATTGAGATGTCATTATTATACTTGAGA